TAATTGGCTATAATGCCTTATATTGTAGGATCTTAGATTGTAATTTTTCTTCAATTTTGTGACATATTCGCGGGAAATCGTTATATTTTTTTATTTATTTGTCCAGTACTGGCTATAGAGCCAACAGCTTAAACAAGCAACAAACAATCAAGAAACTCAAAACGTAATAATACATAAAACTAAAAATTAATTTGTGAAAAATCTGTAATTACAAAAACCCGGATTTTCTCGGAAATCCGTATGTCTTTAAGGTGGCCATTTTGAAACTCTTTAAAAACGTGTTTGGTTATATTGTTGTGGATTTTATAATTTCTATCTGTCAAAGAAAAGTCAAATATTTAAAACCACATAGCCAAGTCTAGGTGAATTTTTCTTTCTTAATTTTAATTCGTTATTAATTTACCTATTAATTAAACCTCGTCTTAGGTGGGTCATCATGTCACGGGTCAATTCAGAGTAAAGAGTTCCAATTTCGGGACAGTTTCGATTCCGAGCAATTTCTATTCCGAGAATAAGTCAACGTGTGTATCGACAAATTCTTCTGACACAATTTCCTTGACATTTCCGTTAAAAACGTTTTGCATTATTTATTGGTAATGTAAATGCACAATATGCGAATTATTAATTTATACCTACACGCCTAATTGTGATCGCAAGTATGCCAGTCATTTCAGAAAGAAAAGGGAGATGCACTGACCGCATGTAATTATTACACGAAACTTTTCGAGCAGCTTTCGGCCCTCTATGAGTTGTATTCCATTTCACCTGCACACCGTAAATTAAGAAAAGTTTTTGCAGCATGACGCTTTTGAACAGATTGTTCAATCGGAAGAATTCGTGAGGTCCGCTGGTTCATTCCGTGGCTTAGTTGACATAGCGTCTGGCACGGTTTTTTATAATTTTCATACCAAAAGATTGGTATGATACTGTAGATTTGAATATTGTCACTAGTATTATATATTTTTGTAGGCAACTTTAAAAGAACTTTGATTGAACTCGACCCCCACTTAAATTTTAACAAACAGAACCCTATTTATTCGTTGTACCGAACTTGGCTCCTTTTTCATATTTTTATTTCTAGTGGAATATATTTATAGACGGAAATAAACTAAAACAACTTCACAAAACAATTACGAAATCGAAACTTTTTAATGCTGGATTAATTAAATTTCGTCGTGGACGGAATCGAACTCGGGGCCCAGGGGGGCTGTCAAACTCTGCGAACACCGTCTGTCTGCCACGACAAGTTTTAATAACCTGCTGTATTGGCCAAAATTGATGAAATTTTGAGACGGCTTCGAAACTGACTTAATGTGTAAAAGGGTAGATAACAGGAAACAAAAAAATGTTGGGAGCGAAAATTTTTTTCCGCTAGACTGTGTTAAAAACTCGTATCTACATCATAAACGTATTGTGTGAACAGTAAACATAGGCAATTAGTTTCCATTAGTGATCTAAATCTTAATTATTAATTTATCTTCTAGTTACTATGATATTTTACCACTTAATCTTTTCTGACATACTGTGCATATTTTGGTCACAAAAATAATTTTATTAACCGGTCGATGTTTTAACTTTATTTGTAAATGTTTATTTTATTCACCGAACATGGTTTAGAGCTGTTATTTTGCAACTAAAACAATTAAAAACAAAACATCTCTAAATTGTAGGAGTACAAATTGTGTATCCGACTACAAAACCAAGGATCTCCTTCATCAAACCGTGATAAGACGCGAGATACGCGCCCCTCCAAATTGAACCGTCTCGGATCTGTCTCCAGTAAGCCAGGTTATAATTGATGCGACGTCAAAGCTGATACAACTAATCGGAAAAATACAAATCCCGACATGATCGATTGAAATACAGACGGAACAGAGAAAAGTTGGTTTGTAAATGCTTTAGGGGCTGTAAATTTGCATTTACTGATTTTCGAGTTTCTTGGGCTTTCGTGATTTTTATAAATTGGAAATAAACTATTATTACGGATCTAAATCGTTAGTTAGCTGTGAGCATATGACCCATAAAGGTCCCGAAACGTTGGTTTGTTTGAGAAAACAAATATACACGAATACATACTGATTTTCTTGCTTACTTTTCAACGTTCAAACTTATGCATGAACTAAAATAAATATATTAATGTTTACCAGGTTGCTTTTATTCAGTGTACCCACTGGTACTCAAATGTAGGTAAATCATGCAAAGTGTGAAATCTCGAAAATCGGTGTGAGTAAACTGCTCGAAAACACCCCAAAACGACATTGTTACCGACGAGAAATTGCGGAAAAATTTACTTTTTTCGCCTTTGAAATATTGAATTTTTACATTTATGCCTTTCACACCTCATAACGTAATATTTTTCGCAGAAACCTCCCTCCCTTCGGTAACTTTACCGTTGCAGCGGCAACATTCAAAATAAATGTTTGGTGCTTTATCAAAGAAAAAGCCAGAGCGTGTAGCGTGTGTTACAACTTCAACGAAATTGGTGATTCTTGATATTTATTTAAATTTGAGATTAAATAAGTTTCGTAAAATAAATTATCTAACGTTTCTTAACCCTTCGTGCAACGCTTAGGTATATTTCGTGATCCCGCAAATAATGTGACCACAGTATTTAGTCGGAGGGGCATCGAACGTTCTCTAATGGCATCCGACCGCCAACTGGCCAGCATTAATCCTTTACCGGCTCTTGATTAATTATTTAAACTTGCCGAGGGGCCGCACATATCGTTCGCAAATTGTTTACAAGTAATGCTCGTGTAAAAACTCCACTGAGGGTCTGTTATTCTTTTGTGATTTTGTAATCTGCAATTTCTTCTTTGTGTACAAATAAAGTTACTTAATCTGAAGACTTACTGCAAATCAATTTAAAGTAAAGGTGACGCAATAGAATTTTTTTTAAAGGCGGTGGATATTAAACTAATTTAATCTATTTACACACATCTTATATTGTAACGTGACATAAATAACCGCACTCTCTAAACTCTCAGGTAGCCCACATAATTCAATAAACCCAGTTCGTGGCGATATTATCAAATTAAGTGCGGACAAGGCGACTCTTGACTTGACCGATGTAAGTGACCCTAATCCGCAGTAAATCTTACCCGGACCGGGCTGTCCGCGACCGCCTGAGCATGGAGGGTTAAACAAGCGAACACTTCGCATTCATTTATTACTACCATCGTGTAGAACAAGGGATTTCACCTTGTTATATTAGAGCAATCGCTTTAAATAATTACACGTTGCACACCTTACGTCATTTTTCAAAGCGTGCGAGCATATCTATCTTGGACTTTTCTAGACGGCTGCCTTCAGCTACGTTGGACAGGTACTTTGTAGTCAGTTCCTTTGGACGTCAAAAGATAATGATAAACTTTGTAATTCATCCAATGCGATAAAATATCTACTTGCACTAATAAAGTACAGATTAGTCAAAATTATTTGTTGTTATACCTTAAACAAAATAGATAAGATTTAAAAAGTATTGTATAGCATATTCTGTGACTAGCTGTACATAGGAAGGTAAGACAAAATTTATAAGAAAGTAAGTCGAAGTTGTCATTACATGCTCCAAAATTGTTCGAAAATTGCATTACATTTTTGAACAAGAAAAAAATACTAGAATAGGTACAGCCACAAGCACAATCGTGATAATGTTCGCATTATACGCGGCGGCTCGAGGCCGCATAATAACGTCTATTACAGGCCGACACGCAAAAACTTACTGCCAAACTTGCATCTTTTGAACATTTCTCTCGGTACATGCGTGCGCGGAAACAAAAGACGCGTTTTGGTATATAAGAAAATATGAGTAGGTATATAAAAAAATTGTATTTATGCAAACTTTATATAATTGTAAGTAGTAGGTACTTGCCTATAGAATATTTTCTTACATTATAATTAATTATAAATTATAATGCTGTTTCACTAGATTTTGTCTGTATAATTGGAATTCGGCTGTTAATGAAACAACCAAAGTTTATTTTCTAATGACATTTAATCTATTCCTTCTTTTCTGTAACTATCTACATTTTCCCAAAAAATATTTGCCATAGTTGAAACGGCTTTTGTCTCCGAATATACTTCTAATAATAATTCTAGTGGCTACCAAGGGCTATCAAGTTTCGGGTTCAGTAAACCGATAATATAGTAATATTATTCAAGTGCCTAACACATGCGCGACTGTCGAATTAATCGTTGCTGCAACCACATTTTGATTTTCCAACCACACCAAACAATTACCTATACATTAGAGAAAAATAAAAACTATTCTTTAAACATAAAATACAGTTTGGATCTATTTTGTTTGTACTTAAGCCCGACAGGCAGGGCCAGTGCATTCGTGCGGAACCGAGGGTCGCGCAACGTTTGATTGACAGCTGCCCCTGTCCAATGGCAACAGCGAAAGCTGACGTACCACGTCAATCAACCACCACTACTAACCCCACCAAAGCATATGCAAGCCATAAATATTAAAAAACAACCTTTATAACCATCGTATTAAGAACCTCACTAACTGCACCAACACGTTGCGAATGTAGGTAGAGTCGTCACGCGAACGCAATCCCCCTATTATTCGCCGCCCTTTTGTAATTTGAATTTCGAATTCCAATTCGTATTTTGTGGTAAAATAAAAAGAACAACTTCGACACAATGGCCTCAAGGGCGGTACTCTGACATGCGATCAAGTTATTACATTAAAGGAAAGCGCACCCGCGAGCCTCGCGAGCTCGCAACCCGCTTATTGAAAGCTTCCAGGAATAACGCTCTACCCTGTATTAATTTGGAGCGTGCCTGTTTTAAAAATGTATAAAATACGGGCAAACGTATGCTCTGCGTCGAAAATAAAAAGATACTTAATTCACGTTGACTGATGGTTTGGATAATAGGACCTGTTCCGTATTGTTAATAGAAAAAAATCAAGTTTATTTCATCAAGTATTTTATGATGCACATGTTACATTTGTTAAATTCTGTTAACACAATGTTAAATTTTTGTTTTAGAAAATGGTTTACCACGAAGACTACGAACAGCCTACACAAACACACAACTTTTGGAGTTAGAAAAAGAGTTCCACTTCAACAAATACCTATGCCGACCCAGAAGAATCGAGATCGCCGCATCGCTCGACCTCACAGAGAGACAGGTAAACTAAACAAAATTAATGTCGTACTGACACAAATTAGAAAAATTTCCATATATCTAAACTAGATATCTATTGTTACAGGTAAAGGTTTGGTTTCAAAACCGACGAATGAAACACAAAAGACAAACGCTGACCAAGAGTGAAGACGGCGATGACAAAGATTCTACCACATCTGATGGTGGCAAGAGCAAATCTGGACTGGAAAAATTCCTGGACGACGACCGTCCTTTATCAGGAAAGAAAAGTTGTCAAGGCTGCGAATTGCCTCCTGGAGCATTATGCTCACCCGCAGAGGATTTGCCGGAATTAACGTCGCGGACGCGAAACAACAACACACCTAGCGCTACAAATAACAACAGCTTTGCAAGTGACGGAGCCTCGAGTGTAGCCTCCTCCTCATCTCTTGACAAACTGGCTGAGGATGACTCCCGCGATGGTCATCCACCCACTGTTGTAACTACAGCACCAAGAATCCTAGCAAAAAGGATCAAACAAGAATCCAGAAAACGTTCACCGTCATTAGACACGGCATGCAAGGTATCTCCATCCTCTTCGAAGGATAGTCTTGGACCAGTCGGTTTACCAGATGGAACTAAATTTCCATCTGTCAGCCTCACGCCTTCTTCGACGCCAGGAACTCCTTCGAGCATGCACCCAAGCCCTCTCGGTCACTACCCACGGCCTTCACCTCCTAATGCGCCAGCGGGGGCGCCTCATCATCAAGCTGTGCCTAATGCTATGCCTCCATACGTCATAAGAGGAAATGCACCACCAGGGCAGTTTATTCCGCACCCAGATTTTCGTATGGATTCGAAACAATTTGTTGGGAAACTGGGCCAATATCCCCAAAGTAACAGAAATTACGATGGTTATGGACCTGCGGTGCAAAGCGCAGATCAACATGCCTACGCTCGAAGCCAGCAACACGGAAGACAACAAGATGGTTCTCCTTCTACGAGGCCCACGAATGGCATTGGTTCAAGGCAAACGTATCCTCATGAAATGTATCAAAATTACGGTTATCCCTCATATGGGAAAGATCAAGTTGGATATGGGCATCCTGGATACGAACAGTCCCAAGGTTATCCCGGAGAGCACATGGGATATCCGAACAACCACTACGGCTATCATTACCACGAAGGTGCTCAGCACGATCATGCACATAACTATTACGGAACTGATGGGCAAAAGAATTCGCAGAGCAATGAGGCATACGCTAAAAACGCGTATTACGATGCAAGTGGGTACAGTGGACAGCCGCCGATTGCAGCCGCAGGGTACGCTCCTAGCGCTCCTCAAAATGCAACTCCCAACGAGGCTTACGGCAGTACCAGTGGTGGCGGCGAGTGTGGCGACGGATACGGCTCTTTCCAGCAATTCTATGAAGCGACACACGCTGCTCCCGCTGGCGACAACTCTAATTCCTCCTCGGATTTCCATTTCCTGAGCAACCTGGCCAACGACTTCGCTCCAGAGTATTACACCATTTGAGATAAGGACTTCGCCGAGCAGGCGAGTGATCTGTTCGTGTAGCGACCGGACGCGTTCGCATTCTAATGTGTAAGAAGGCTAATATTTTTGGGTTATGGTGTTTAGAAGGAGAGTCTTCGCCAAAGGCGTGGAATACGTGATTGGTAATCCTAACTCTCTTTGATAGTTAATGTTATGTTATTATAAGTGATAAGATAATGTACTAAAATGTAAATATTTATGTAGCGTACTTTCAATAGACGATATAAATATTTTTATTGATACATACGTACTTGAATAAAAATTTAGGTGCTGATCACGTTGTAAGAAACAGTAGATACTCAAGTAACGTGATAACTGATGTTTCACGATTACATTTTCCTATTCATAACAATATGTTAAGTAAATTATTAACTTTAATAAACGTCACAAGATGTCAAAGGGATTTCCAAAAATCAAGGTTCAATGCTACACCGAAATAGCCTCTACAACACTTCCACTTAAATAAATAGTGTACTACCACTTAAACTGTTTATATTGTATGTACGTATTATTTGTAATTAAACCGATATCAATGTAAATTTCTTATAACTTAATAATTAAAATTTTATCATGTATCCAAACACCTTTTCACATGTTCATGGTAAAAAAAAATTGAAAATTATACTTTGTTTTACTACACTATTAAAATTAATTGTTTACAAACTTATGGAATAGTCGTTGCCTTATTTAGTTGATATTGTTTTGTGACTATAAGACATTGTAGATACGTAATAAGATAGTTTAAATTAAGTCATTATTACTGTAGATATCAGCGCTATCATTTTGGCCTATTAAAAAAATAAATCATTTGGTGTCACATGTTTTGTTGAGTTTGCCTTATTTTGATCTTCACTTTCAGTGGTTAATATATAGTTCTATCGAAAATAGAAAAAAATATAATATTTATTCTTAAACGTCCAATATCGCGACGCTCTTGCCTTTTGAGTTTAATTAAAATTCGAGATAGACTGGCATTGGGCGTTGGGGGTGCTGCCCTCGCCTATCTACAAACCGTAAGGGTGGTCCATGTATTATTATGTGAAGATTTTGTACCTTCGTGTATAGTTGTTCTGGACCATTGGTAGGGGAGGGACACTAAGGGTTCTGGTCCTACAGCGTCCGTCTTCGACCCTTTTCTGGCTAGTTCATCTGCTGCGTCATTGCCACGTGAGCCGCTGTGTCCTTTAATCTACTGTAGAGTTACATGGTTTCGTATACATACCTCCATGAGTGCTTGATGGCATTCCTAAATGAGCCCTGAGTTTATGTCAAAGCTGTTCAGTGCTTGAAGTACTGATATAGTGTCGGAGACTATTCGAATGGAGTGAATCCTTTACTCTTCTCGTTATGATTGCTTCTGCCGCCAACTTGATGCCCACGCATTCAGACTGGAATACTGTGTTGGGGTCACCAAGCAGTGTTGATATCCTGATATTGAGGTCTTCTGAGAATACCCCAGTACCTGTTCCTGAATTTATTTTAGACCCATCAGTGAAGACACATACCTCTCTGGGGTCCTTCATTGGGCTCTTCAAACAATTGTATCTTGTATTTTTTGTCAAAGATGTATTGTTTTGGGATCCTCATTGACAGTCTTATAAAGGATTTCTGTATGTGGGATCGTCATGTGCTTCCAAAGGCCGGCTCTGTTTAGACGCACTGCTGCTGACGCCGCTTCCTGTCTGATGAACAGTGAGAGGGGTCGCAGGTTCAGTTGGAGTTGTCCACATGCAGCCGGTGGTCGCCATGCGAGCAAGTCTTTGGAATTTGTCCAGCTTGTGAGTTGTGGTCGTCAGTTTGGTTCGTGGCCACCATACTATCGCGCCGTAACTGATCATGGGTCTTATCACCGCTGTGTAGACCCATAGTGTTATCTTACTCATACTGCAACTCTTATGGACAGGCATGTAGCTTACCTTCAGGCACACGACTTGTTCGTCCCGTCACTTGATATTATAAAATATATATATATATATATATATACACAGCTGCCTCTTCTCAATTATGCGTCATAATTTGATATCAATAATTTTATTAAAACATATAATTGAATAACACCTCAATTAAATACTGTTATTAATTTATTGCTTATTAAACCAAACTAAAACATTAAAAATTAGGTAATGATGTGATCTTTCATATATATAAAAAATTCTGCTCTCTATCCATGTACAATGCTGGTGCACATTTATTTAAATATATGAATAACATTTGTTTATGAAACTGCAGTTATGTTTTAAGAGTTCAGATTCATACAGCAATATTTATCTAGCTCAAACAAATACATAATCTAGCAGCCAACTACTGTTATATCAAGGAGGGTATAAATTCTCTGGTTATGATCTCAAGAAAATTAAAAATAGTATCCTTTATATGCCCAAGCACAAAGCATATAACAAATTTGTTAAGTATTCTGCCTGTTTCCACAGGTGCCAAAGAAAGTGATTATTTCATAAATTCAAGCAGCAGTGTTTAACATAAAGACTTTACTGCAATTGCCAAACCACCTAGCAAACATACCAAATAAGACAAATTTTTCCCTTTTTTGGATATGGCAATTTTCAGCAATTTAGTTAAATACTAAACCACTGAAAAGGTAGTTGTAAACCATTACAGTAATTGCCCTATCTCTATCACGGGATACTACTTTCATCTGTAAACATTATTAAACTGTTCAGCATTCCACTTTTAATATTAAAACAGTCTCAAGACAATGCAGAAAGTTACACAATAAAGCAAGCAAATCAAAAACTACTAATGTTATGAAGAAGATGGCTTTTGGGCCTGTGCCTGGGCATGGAGTTTCATTTCCATCATTGTACAGATTGCTTCACGGATCTTGGACTTCTCCATGCCCAACATTTGAATTTTTTCCATTTGTTCCGTAACAAACTGAACTTTTCGTTTAAAGTAGTCTTTTGCACCTTCAATGTCCTGAAACATAACCAGTCAGGTTTAAATTTGGACCAAAACTATTGACTCACTTTTTTAGTTCCACATAAAATCTTTAAAATAATAAACATTTAAAGTTTTAAAAATCTCAAATAATTACTGAAAGAAATACTGCATGTACACATTGCCTAAAATACGTTTTCCAAAACAAAAATAGGAAGAATTAAACAGTGCACAAATTGATTTTTAAAGAATGTAAATGAATACTAATTTTATTATTCTTAGATAAGTTACTGTGACAACAACCAATCTTATAAAACGAATACAATATTATAATAGTTTGCTCAATTAAATACATTTAATTTTATTTTTTGACAATTAACTGTTTCAAAAGTCAATTGTTTGTATCCACTAACCTTTTGCGCGTAGTATCCAGTGCCAATATCTATAATAACATTCTCAGTGTCTGCAATTATACCAGGCACATACATGGACCCAGTTAGAGGTACCAGAATAGTTCTGCCTTTAATGTCTGGTGTCATCTTTTCTACACTCTCACCAGACTCCACAAACTTGCCTTGTGCTATCTTCAAAGTATGAAGTGATTCTTGCAAGACATTCAGCTCCTGGAAACGATCCATCAAACAATTGAAAATAAAGAAAATATAACAAAGTTAAAGGTTTATTAATAAAAATCATATTTTGTTTTAATGGTTGTAGAAATATTGGTCAGTAAGACAAAACTAGTAATACAAGACGCCTCTCTAGGTTTACCGACCTGGTGAGCTGAAGATGGCACAAAGTTTCATAAAGTTGCTGTTAGGGAAGCTTAAATTTCACAGTCGTTCTCCATCAATGATGAATATGACGATAAAGCGAGCTTTGTCATATAGTATAGTTTCAGTAGTAATACTGAAGTATAGAAAATTATTAAGTTAGGCTAACTTACTTGGTCTAGTTGTTGTTTCAACTGAGCCAACTGCTGGATATTTAATTTAGATAAATCAATTTGTTGCAACCCTGGTGCTGGCGCAGCGGATACAGTTGCCATGTTTAGTAAAATTTTTATCGACACTTGAAATAAACACGATGAGTTTGTTTTATTTCAGTTATATTAGATATTTGAGCATAATTTTCACAATAACCTCAAAAATCCACTCACGACTGTCTGACAGTGAAGCTGTCAAATTTGACACTGACAGTTTAACGGATATTTTTTCATCCTGGATACTTGGATAATTATACAATTGGCTAATTTTCCAAAATATTTGAAATAGTGAAAATTTTTCCGGAAAAATTCTCAAAAAATTGGAAAAATTTGAAAACTTGCGAAAATTTTATTTGAAAATTATAACCTCCAACAACCACACCACCACCACTTGTCATTGGCTTCATTATTTTCGTTCAGTAACTTTAACTTTTGACACATGTCAAAGTCAAATAAGAAAAATTAAAGGAAAATATTGGAGAAATATCCGGAAAATATTTATTTTTCTGAAAAATTGAAATTTTTCCATGACCCAACACTATTTGGATAACTATGTTGAAAATTTACCGTGTATCTTAAACGCCAAAACCTACAAAAATTGGACTGACTAAAATTAAAACCATTCATTATGAAACACAAATCTTATATTAGAAATTAACTCGTGTAATCACTACAGAGTAAAATAAACCAACCTCAAAAGTCATTCATCCCCAAGTTTGCCTTAAACGGCCCATTCACTACCAGTGCAGCGTGGCAATCCGCCGCGCAGGTAGGTGACTGCTCACACACTATCCTGCGTATGGCCCAAGCATGGAGTCTCATAGGACGCATTGTAGGATGGCTTGCACGCTGCGACTACATTCCTGCGTTGCGCGACGAACAGCATGCGGCAAGGCGGGCTGCAATGCAGGATAATGAATACCCCCTTTTAGAGGCGGAATATATTATTCAAATTTAAATGGGACCACTACTGAGGTACCCTCTTTCCAACAAAAGAAGAATCATCAAAATTGGTTCAAAAATGGAGTTATCGCGTAACATAAGTACAAAAAAACATATAGTCGAATTGAGAACCTCCTCCTTTTTTGAAGTCAGTTAAAACTGGAACTACAAAACGCCATTTTTTCTGCCAGTTCATGGGGGAACAAAAACACCGCTTTTTGCCTCGGTTTTCAATATATCGTCTGACCGTGTGACCGTACAACTCACTACTCCTACTATGTACACATTGGTATAATGTAAACGATTATGGTGGTCAATGGTCCATATACTGGCACTGACCAGCGTAGACACGTGTGTGGCACTCGTTAAATCAGCCAACAAGCTATACCATGCTTTTTTAAGTAATTTTATTGTTTTAAGAAAGTCATTAGGAATGCACGTTAACAAAATGGCTCATTCATATACCTGTATGGCAGTTCGCCGCGCAGATAGGAGACTGCTCACATACTATTCGTATGGCTTAAGGAGTCACGTATGTCGTATTGTAATATTGCAGGATGGCTTGTTCGCTGCGACCACATTCATAATCCACATTGCGCAGTGGACTGCACTGCAAGCACAATGCAAGATAATGAATGGACCCATTCATTATCGTGCATACCAGTCCACCTAGCCGTCCGCCGCGTAATGCAGGACTATGAATGTAGTCGCAGTGTGCAAGCCATCCCGCAATGCCGAGCAGGATACCCCCTGCGTCCTGCGAGACTCCAGTAAGCTCCGCTCACCGCTAGCAGTCCACCGCGCAGGATCATGAGTAGGCCGGCGTTCTCCACAGCGGACTGCCGTGCAGGTAGTGAATAGGCCATTTTATAGTCGATTTGTGAAATTAGTTAAAACCTTACAGCATACAACAAAACACTATGCACTTTATAAAAAAGTAGTAACATAAAACAACCCTAAAAGTAATTTTATATATATATATATATATATATATATATATATATATATATATATATA